CACGACCGCGGACACGCCGGCGTTACAGTTAACAATAGATTTCTTAGTAATTTACCTGGAGGTGTAGTATTAGTTGGTGACTGAATTGTGCTCGTTTAGTAGATTATCATCTATTGGCGACAATGTATATCACAAAAATTTACGAGATGGCACTATACGACATCAGAGCAGATAAATAAAAGCTCTAATTATTAATTATAAAAAAATGTTTTGTTTCTATGAAAAAGCCTTTTTCGTCGTCATCATATTCATTTGAAAATATTAAGAAATCTGGTCTGATTTAATATTTATAATTAAAAAAATCGATAACTATACGGCAAAAGCTTCTCGAAACGAAATAATAATTCTATAAATGAATATTTTGTCCTTGCGGGGCGCCCGTGAGGCTAGGGGCCCTGGGCCCGTGTCCACTGTGCCCTTATGGTAAAGAGCTGGGCTGGCTGTAATGGAATTAAGAAAAGAGAAAAGTTCTCGTTGTTCTTTTTTTTGTTTAAGAATCGTAAAATATGCAAATTTTATCTATGACGCAGACACAGACGGTTGAAATGTCATTATTATATAGGTACTATAGAATTAATTCTTAGATTTACACGCATATTTGACATCTATACATTAAATATTTTTTGGAAAATCTTACTGAAATAATCATTAGGTATTATCGATACAGAGGCCGAATCTATAGTTTTAGAATGAACCAACCATGTTTTAAATAAAACTTTCTTTTCGGAATTTTTGCGGATTTATTTTGATTTTTTATTCCTGACGTTTCGAACGCTTTACAGCAATCATGGTAACGGAAGAGACTACGGTAGAAAGTCTCCCGTGACCATTATTGATATGAAGAAATCCGAAAAGATAGTTTTATTTAAAATCCTATAGAATCTGACAACAGATTTAAAAGAAATATTTTATTATTTGTATATAATTATTTTATACTGAAGGTTGTTTCTCCGAAAAAACAATTCTAACAATTCTATCGTATATAATTACATTTCAACCGTCTATCATGAAAATAAATGTAAAATTTCATAAAAGCCTTTGTTTTCAGATTTCAGGTAAGGATATTAATAAAATATATTATAATAATAATAGCCAGTTACACAAAAAAAACCGCAAAGAAAATTGGAACTTAAAGCAAACATAGACGGACTATTCAAATATTATTTTTAAAGAATAAGATTTTTCATGAAAAAACTTATAAGCAGGTTTGATAAGTATACAATTAAAAAAAAATCTGTTAACTGGCACAACCTACGGGTTCGCCCACGTTCAATCTACAGAAAAAAACTCTTTATGTTCGATATTGTTCATACAAAAACACTAAAATCGCAGTTAAAAAATGGAGGGTAGGAAAGTGAAAATTCTCATAACCTATTTTCATACATACAAAATAAACAAAAAAAAAACATTAAAATCGGTCGAGTCGTTTCGGAGGAGTGCTACCACAAACACCGTGACACGAGATATTTACGAAATAGAAACCACTGGACTTGTGCGACTAATTCTTGCCCTGTCTGTTAAAAAAATAACTTTCATTATTTAGTAAGCTTTAATGAAGAATTGCGTTTTACATATGCTTAATAAATTGCTAAGGACTGAAGTGGTAACACTGCACAGAATCTTCTCTCACTAGTGAATGTCACATTAAAATATCTTAGATAGTGTTTCTTCAACGATCTGTCCTATAAATAAAAGATTCTTTTCCATTTTTTCCAGGACAAAATGTAGATTTCGCTCTCGCCTAAATCCGCTATTCACCAGAGAAAATCTCGTTAAAATCGATTTAGCCGATTACGGAAATATGCGGGTAGGTACAATTAGACATCAAGACAGTCTGAGAATTGTTTGAACTTTGAGCATTGATATCGAGCTATGAACTATATGAACTCAATACGAATTAACTGTTTTAAAATAATATCTTATAATTTTAATATCGGATACTACCTACCTATTAAAAAAAAAACGAAATAATTCTTACCTCAGCTTGCGTAATTAACAGGTTCTCGGTATAAAATTAGAGTTTTGGAATCCTTAATACTCTCAAAGAAGCCAGTAAAACATGAAGAGTGACATTATTATCGAAAAACAATATCGATAAGATGCTGCTCGATGAAGCGATATCAAGAAAAGCCATATGAGAGCATATTTGATTAAAATCTTCCTGAAATCTAATATCACGGTCTTGCAAGTATAACCATCTACGTAGCCGGTGAAAACATGGTAAAAATACCGAAATTGTAGGTACAATCTGACAATATCAGCAAGACAAATTTGCACACATCCTGTAAAATATGTATATTAATCCAAGTTCGATATGAATAGATTCCTGATTGGAATAACTCTTTATACGTAGTACTTCATCCTAACTTCAAGTAAAGTATATATATTTTTTCTACTGCGCATTCAATAAAAAGTAAAAACTTTTTTAGCTTATATTCACGCTTTTTTCTTGTGAAGTTACTTCTTAGTCGTCCTTACTTTGTTTTTTTCCATTTTTTCTAAAAAAAAATCATTTCATTGTTTCGAAACAGCACCAACTTCTTAACTCTGGGCTTTTACTGAGGCTTACTAAATAGAAAGGCTCAATAACTAAACTTGGCCCAACCCGGGATTCGAATCCAAGATCTCCAGATGTGCTGCTGTATATACTAGCCACTACACCGCCGAGGCACTTTAAATCACGCAGGTACGCATGCGCGATTTATTTTACGTAGTAATCGAATGCACGACCACATTTTTAACAGATAAGACCATATATAAGATAAATATAATAAATTTCTGAAACGTATGTACCTGGCTGTCTGGATTGGTAGCACTATAACGAATTGCCATAAAAAGATTACAAACGAACATAGCAATCGTAAATAATATTGCCAACCAAACTCTGAGCTGACTGTAGGTATGGATGGATGGAGCACGAAAAAAATATTTTGTGCTAGCGATATTTCTCTGCACATATTGCTGCATATTATCTTTGAAATTGATATTGATTATATGGTTAATATTTATGTTAGTTATTCTTGACTGACTTAAAAAAAGAGGAGATATTTTATAAGTTTATTTAAAGACTAGCATTGCCCGCGGCTTCGCCCGCGTTCAGATGACCAAAAACTTCTTAGGTTGGTTAAATGAGACATTTTCCCGCGGTAAAAAGTAGCCTATATGTTGACCCGGATAACCAGCTATCATCATACCAAATTTCATCAAAATCTGTCCAATGGTTTTATCGTGATGCGGTAACAGACAGACTGACAGAAAGACAGACAGACAAAAATTCTAAAAACGATTCGGCCTCTGTATCGATAATAATGTTTATTTCAATAAGATTTTCCAAAAAATATTGAATGTACAGATTCAGCTTAGTTACAATTTTATTATATGTATAGATAAAACACAAAAATAGATTATTGAAAGTAAATATATTTCGAGTGACTTTATTTTAAACAACTATATATTACAAAACGTTATACAACAATTACTTACAGCATCAATTTTTCTTAAAAGATTTATTTTTTCTGTTTAAAATAACATATCGAACATTACCTGTACAAAGTACTAGCACGAATGTCCTCCATTTGTACACAAGTTAAATTCAATACGAATAGCCTGTACCGATCGCATTTTATCCTATAGCATGATATTTTACTTTTTGACAAACAACATTTATGTCCGCGGAAATACTCATGAGAATTATTATTTTTTAACCCCCAACGCAATGAGGGGTGTTATTTATTTGACGTCGATGTCTGTCTCTCTGTGTGTGTCTGTCTGTGGCATCATAGCTCTCAAACGGATGCACCGATTTCAATACGGTTTTTTTCATTTGAAAGCCAGTTTCCTTGCGGTGGTTCTTAGCTTTGTTTGGTTATTAATATCGGTCTAGTAGTGTAAGAGTATCAGCTCATTTTCAAAATGATGTAAGGTATTTTGGCGTATGATACTCGATTAAGTGTTTCACGCGTACCAGTGTAATTGTTAAATGAAAATTAATTTGCGTAGGAGGTATATTAAATTTTTAATTTATAATTATAATTATTGCCTTTTTCTCTTCATTTGGATCTACAAAAGATACTTGGGATATTCTTGAAGAAAACATTTCAAAAATATCTTTAAATACTTTCTAAAATAACTTTTGATCGTAATGATATTTATATATTACCATAGGGTTTATGAGTTAAAAAAATAAATTTAGATAACCATACGTGACGTAAAGCGTTTGATTAACGAAACCCTTTAGTTATATTACTAAATATTATGGCAATTTACCTGATTCACCGGTTAATTTTTGTCTATGATAACAGCTTTGTCACCATTTCCAGAATACTAATCCTAAATTATATAAGATACTTATTACTGCGGGAAAATATCTCATCTCTGAGAAATCTATACTAAAGGTTAAAAGTTAAAACGTAATTAATTAGGTACGAAGTACAACCCGAACGCAGCGAGGGTGAGTCGCTAGTGTACATATAAATAGGCAAAACAAATGGCAAATATTCTCCTTAAATTCTCCTTTGTTTGCCAACTGCTTTTCTTTTTTTTTGTTTAGTAGGTATAATGACGAGCTTTAGTGTTATCAAAAAAAAAACGAAAACAGTTTTTTTTATATGTATATAGGTAAATTCTATTCATATAATATGTTTTCCTTAAATGTTTAATAATTAATCACTATGGTCGAATTTCGAGCACTGGGCGATATAAAAATCTAATGAGTATTTATATTTTTTTTACGACAACTCGTCAAAAGGTTTCGGTTTCGATTCCTGTAAGAACGAGTATGTGCCTGATACAAGTTTATTGCTGCCATTTATACCGCCACTGCACTGATTCTTTCAGTACAGATAAAATTTCAGATCCGAGTATAACTTTGTAAGGGAAAAATCATGCTACTTTTAAACTAAAGGTATGATACATTTCCGGAGCTTTTGTAAGCTTTAAAGCCAACAATAAAAGTAAATAAATTTATATTTTATTTCGATAAATCCTTACAATAAATATTAAACAAACTTCCAATTCAATAAACTCTTTCCGGTTTTCCACAATTCTGCACAGCTTTTAGAGCAAAACGAAGCGCTTAAGATGATGTCTTCCGTATCTTCAATGAGAATTATTTTTCTGAAAATATAACGATATTTTCTTAACAACCATTTAATATACAGCAATATTATTTACCCTTTATTACTTTGTTTTAAATAAAATGAGTCGTTTTGTGAAAGCTACGATACAGTTATATTATAGTTATAATAAGTAACACTCGGATATTAAGGGGCTATAGTAGGTTGCAAGCCGCGGGATCGATTCCTGGCTTCTGTACAGACCAAGCTTGTTGAGATTCTGCAATATATGTATACCTATACGAGTAAATGCGATAGCTTGATAGACGCACAGTGTAAGGTGTTTGTTACTTTATCCCACTATAAAGATTCAATGGATTTGTATGAAATTTCATCTTTTTCTAAATAGAATTTAAAAAAAAACTTAGTTTTAAACGAGGTAGCCGCAGGAAAAATATTAAAAAACTATATTAGACAAAATCAGATATCCTCAGTTTTCTTTGTGTATCTCAATAAGTTAAGGATAGGTATATATATGAAAAAATAATAAAATACTTACTCTATGCAAAATTCCAAATAAACATAATCAAATATTGGTTTTTTACAAAACCCATTCTCACATCTCGACACGGGCCCGTTACATAAATCGTCCTTCATTACTTTTGGCAGATAACAGAAATATTTCTCAATTATGTTAGCTGGGACATGATAGCCTTTTCTATTATTAGAAAAAGATCTATACACATTTTTATTTTCTTTTTGAAGGTCGCTATCTAAATTATAATTTTTGCTATCATACTGATTATTATTATTTATAGCATCAAAACTAACATCTGAATATATACTGGGTGGTTCTTTTGTCAGCTTTTTCGCAGCCTCGCTAATAATTTCGTACATTTTTCGTTTGCACAATTCAAAAAGAGATGGAGCAGTCACCAAGTTTTTATCTATAACATGCTTGTATTTTGTTGGAAATGTTATGTCTATCTGACAATCTATGTCTTGGTTCAACTGTAAGACACATCTTCCAGTGTGATACGGTTCTTGACGAATCGGTGAATAAGTAAGACATCTGTAAAAAAAAACTTAGATTCTACGATATTTCAATTAAATAGATAGGTACTTGTAAAAAATAAACAGCCAATTATGAAAACTTCTTAAAATTTTAATAGTTCATATTGAATTTTAAGCGGAGGATTTTTTCTCGAAGCGTATATTGATTTTTGAGATATATAATATACCCATTTATAACAAAAAAAAAAATGGATTACAATCGGCAAACATCCTGCAAACTATAAAGGTATTTATGTATGGTATATACAATAAATATACACCCGAATTTCTGAAGTCCATGAAAATATTACCTATCAATTCCAATACGATTATGAGTTATATTAAAGAACTAACCAGACTTTCGAATATATCGTAATTTAGTAAGAAAAATAATTAATCGACACATAATTATTTTAATTGTAATTAGTATAAGTACTTACCCAATATTAAAGCTTCTCGTCTGTTGCCCTCTGAACATATGGTACCATAAAGAATAGGGTATGGCTTTCAGGTTGGGATTCCTCCAAAATTTGAATTCACAGTGATGATAATTGTATACAGGTCTCTGAGGCAGCCATTGGAGCTTATTATCTAGAATTATAGTTAAATATAACGAAGGATTTTAATTTATTTTTCGGTTAAATGAAGCATACCTTATATCTATCTATTAGTTTAGAATTCTGAACAAATACACAATATTTCTTCGAAAATCAATATTTTTTTCTAGACTCGGTTGTTTCGCAAAAATGTCAAGGGAAGGTGAATAAGTATTTATATATATATATATATATATATATGACAATATAATTATATTGCTTTACCTTTATTATGTCAAAACATGTTACATATCCGTCCATGGGTTAAATTACATTTTATATGCTCGTAGTAAGATTAACCTGCTTATAAAAATGTTATAATATACATAATATGTATAAAGTATGTAAGTTTCATAATCCTGATAAAAGGCTTGAAAAGGGTTCAGTGCCTGTATCAAATTGATATTCATATTGTAATCACAATTAGGGTTTGTATTACAGGTATATATAATTTTCGTAAGTTACTGTAAACGGGTCAAATAGATCAATGAGGAAACGTCCGACTTGATTTATAACGGTTAGTTTGTTATCGAGAGCCAACTACAACTGCTTCCTTCGGTTTACGAGCGACACTAAATCTGTGTATTGGGCACAAATGGATTGTAAAATTTTTTACCCTAAAATACAGTGTTTTCACACAAAACATCTATTTCTAATTTAAAAAAATATAGTAAAACTAACACGCCAATTGTGATTTTCTTTTTAACCCCCGACGTAAAAACGACAGGGTTTGTAAGTTTGGCATCGTAGCTCCCGAACGGATGAACCGATTTTGATTTTGTTTTTTTTTTGTTTGAAAGCTGAATAAGTCGGGAGTGTTCTTAGCTATATTTGATGAAAATCGGTCCAAGGTGGTCTCGGGATTTTTCAATTTTTAATTTATCACTTGTTAATAATATACATAAGCAAATTTTATTTAGCAAATACTGTTTACTTAACAGCATTTTATTTTATTTTTACTGTACAGAATTAATGAATAAAGGATTAGTAAAGTAATTCCAGTATTTTTCTTAAAATTCAAAGCGCTTTAGCGAGATTTATCACGTATAATTAAACCGGGTCAACAACGCTGCACTCATAGAAATTGAGGATGCGATTGAAAAAAGAAGTTTAAAATCATTAACGTACCTGCAGCACGAGAACAAAATTAAACTTTCATATTAAAAATTGCGTAACACAATTATCGATATACACATCTATACAGATAAATAAAATTGAAGTGTCTGTTTATAATGTCCAAATAACAGCTTTTTCTAAATGCATATGAAATTATATACGGTATTTATAACAAAAACACAATGTTTACAATTTTTGTTTGTGTGTCTGTCTGTTTGTTCCGATTAATCTCTAAAACGGCTGAGCCGATTTTGACGGGACTTTCACTGGCAGGTCGCTGATGTTATAAGGAGCTAACTTAGGCTACTTTTATGTCAGTAAAAGAATTAGGGTTCCGCTCAAAAAAAATAAAATGTACCTAGTATAACATACATATAAAGAAACAAAACAAACCGAATAAACATTATGATTACCACAAACCGAAAGATAGCGTAGCATTCGCAGTTCAGCCATCCTCAAAGGCAGTTCCCGAATCTCATTCTCATCTAATATTAAAAATTTTAAGTTCCTCACTTCACCGATCTCAGCCGGTATATATCGCAATCTATTGCCACTAACATCCAAGCACTTTAGCCGAGTTAACTTTGATATCTCCCTCGGTAACTCTGTAATATCATTGCCGCTCAAATATAAGCTCTCAAGATTGTTCAGCTTACCAATATCGCTCGGTATACGAGATATTAAATTTTCTTTTAAATAAATGTCCGTTATCTCGCTCTCCTCGCCTTGGAGACGCTCGAGAGGAAATTCAGTAAATCTCCTATAGTTCCAATGAAGGACCGTGTTTACACTGTTTCCATAATCCATTCTGAATTATATACTTATCACAACATCTCTCACTCGTTTTTAGTAGGTGTAGTGCTTGACATATTTATGCCTTGATCGCTTGTAAATAGGTTTTTTGTTTACTTTTACCTCTCGTTTGTAATATTTGTGTTTCTAACTGCAATTACTTTTACGATAATGTTTTTGTTTAACACAATCCAGACGAGTTCCCTATATTCCTGTCTGCATAAGACTGCTCTGACACGCGAGGTTAGAGATTATTTTTAAATCTTTAGCAAGGCCTTCCATTTAAAATTAGAGCGCCAACATCAATTTTATTATATGTAGACATTTTAAAGGTTCGTTCTATCATAGCTTCATACCAATATTGTTAGATATTCATATTTGAGTTTGAAAGGTTTATTATTAGTTGGTTACAAGAGTATATTGAATGAATGTAAATAATTGAGAAACGAGTATAATTACAAAAGTTATGCGAATCCTATCATTTAAACTTGTGAGTTTGAAACTTTATATTTAATTAAACGTTTGTTACAAATAAAAAGGAGTAAGTTATTAAAATAAAATTACTGTGCATTAAAAAAGTTTTATTATTTTAATTGAATAATTTAAAAAAAGTTAAAAAAAAAACTTTGTAACAACGGTTAAAAAAACCGTAAACTATGTCAATTTCGCGGTTCCCATAAAAATTGGGGTTCGATAGAAAGTATTTCATATTGAATATGAGCGGCTGGCGCGTGCCCAAGTCGAGTTGGGTCGAGGACGAGTCGAAGCGTAAACAATGGACCGCGTTACGTTTGATGTCAGCCCCTGAACTGCAATGAAAGTGAAAATTGAAAAGCTTACTGATTTATAAAGCTTTGCTTGAGATTTTTTTTAATTGAATTGAATTTTATTATGTTTATATTTCATAAGAAAATAAAGCACGTACGCTAGTTAATATTGGATTTTAACGTCCTATATATATTTCAGTCATCACTTATTTTAACTTTTTCTTTCGCCATAGAATGTGTATTTAAAAGCCAGTACATGATAAGCTATATTATGGTCAATACAAAAAAATACCTGAATAGGAATTGAAGCCACGACCTCCTCAAAATAAAGCCGCAGAATTTAAATAAAATAACATTTTGTTTATTATATGTATTTATTTATTGACTCAAGATATTTATATAATAACGTTGTTAAATTGTACCATTGTTACACATATTACTTTACTTATCTATACAAGAGGTATTTAAGATTAAAACAATAAAATTACACTACATTATAAAATAATATAGGAAGGTACACTCAGACTTTAGGTTTTTATTAAAAAATATATAATCAATATAGATATCATTAAATATTTCAACTACAATAAAGGATTATAGTAAGACAGAAATATTTCTTAAAAATAGATCTCATCTCACATTTGAGTCACTTATATTATTTCTTCTTCAACTATTATCAGAATGCAATAATAAAATAGCAATAAATATGCATACAGATGTAGTTCTGTTAGTTATACTTATACCCTCAAAGCATGAGCTTTGTAGATGTTATTTTAGCCTTATAGATGAAAAATTATTTTTTTACATATTATGGGAACTTATCATATATAATCAGAGTTATAACATATTTTTCCTTGAAAACTTATTTATGTTTAGTAAAAAATAAATATAAATGCTATATAAATACAATATTTAGCAGTGCATGAAAATACCTGATAATACAAACTACTATGTATGTATGTATATACCTAATAATAAATACTTTACTATGAAGGCCATTATTGAACCATTCATATGAAACAAATATATTGAATGTAACCATATACTAAATAAAATATTTGTCTATCCAACATAACCTACCAGATAAACTTACTAGATTTATTCATTAGTAAGATATTGATATAGACAATTATTTAAAACTAGCGACACACCCTCGCTTCGCTTGGGTTCGTCCCTAAAACCCTATAACAAAAGCCAATCTACGGGGACCTTACGTTTTTTCGGGATTAAAAGTGTGCTATTCCAGAGCCTATATACCATTCCAGACTATAATCTATCTCTGTGCCAAATTTCATCCAGATTCATTCAGACGTTCTGGCGTGATTGAGTAACAAACATCCATCCAAAGTTTTTGATTGAACTTGATTAGTAAGGATTAATGGGATACTTAGTTGACCTCACACACATTCCATGTTCTACCCCAAAAAAAAACTAAGCACTGGTCCACTCTATATCATTCTTTTAGCCAACTTTCCAAAAAAGCTGTAAAAGAAGTCGTTTTTAAAATAGTACTTTATTTATTAATATTATTAAACCATTCAAATAACATCTACTCGTGTAATTTATACATTACACGAAAATGCTTTAAATAAGCTGATATAATTTTTTGTATTAAGAAAATACTCAATTTAATATGTTACCTACTAAATAAATATTACCATGTAAAAAAATAATTTTTCAGTTAAGTCAAATATTGAAAGATTTCGTTGTATTAGTCTAAAACTGTTATTTTCAAACGTCAGAGGAAATGTAGCCGCTAAACCATTCAATTTTGTTTTTGCTATAGCGTAAGGTAACAAGACAGACACTCATTCACTCTTATATATTTACTCATTTTCACATACAAAGTAAAAACAACATTATATATGTACATTTAGTGTAAAAATATTTCATAAAATTTTAAATGCTTACAGAAAAAGGTACCACCTCTGGCCATTATAACCTTTACTGTAAAAAATAAGATATACAAATGACCTACAGCTGTAGTATAGGTACTAAGCATCAAAACTAATTTTAAGTATAAAGTCTACACTTTATAGTAAAGATTCACTTGAAAAAGGTTTTTGTGTATTTTAAACGATATTTTCACCTATTATAAATCGCTTTTAATGATTATTTTATTAATGAATTCGCAATTATTACAGCTTTTGTCCACTTAAAGTGTATAAATTAGTCATTTTTAATTTTTTTTTTATTATATTAAAATTTTATTATTTTTAAAATTAATGATCCACTTAAGTAGATAAATTAGAGAAATAATTGTTTTAAAGATTTCTTTAATTCAGTGTAGTTTTTCCATTAAGAAGTGATTAACAGTATATATATAAATAGAAAAATACAAATCAGTATCTTTTTCGCTTCCGTTTCCCAACCGAGTTTCTATTATTTTTTGTTTTGGCGAGACCTAATGTTAGCAATGAAAAAATTATCAAGTTTGAATTTCGACCACTGGGCGAACTAAAATATAGTCAACTAGTAGTATTAATTTCATATTAATTAATTCTATTTTTTTCGATATAATAAGTCACATAAATGGAAATCACACGAACAACTCCCAAAGATAGTCAGAGCTTTATAGTATATAGAAATATGTATAAAGGTAGACGATACATTTGCTTATAAATTTCGTAAATTTATAATTTTAATTATTAAGTTACATTATAATCTTAACTGAGATCTTTTCTCTATGTCTATATTATTATAATAGAATCTACAAATATGTATTCAAATTACAGCATTTAAGTCGCTATGAATCAAATCTGCGAACTCATGTACCTACTGTACATATCGCTATTATAAATTGAAATAGCAAATAGAAATTTTAAAAATTGTATTAAAATGTTAAATTTAAGCCTTAAGCCAAGATATATTAATATGTCATTACCATTTATTTTTCTATATATTCGTAAACAATTTATATTAAGACTTATAAGTCGAAACAGATACATGAACAGACAAATATTGAATATATAGATTGTGCTTTATTATAGGAAAATATTAAAATCTACGAATGATCCTTACTCGACGACCTTTACCGTCGCTCTCATCGTCACTATCGAAGGACGACTGCTTGCTCCCAAGCATCAGGGCTTGGATTTCAGGGTTAAGAGGCAGAGCTGGGTATGAAGATCGACGTACCATCGGCGCGGGCCTGGCTCCTATAAATACAGAGAAAATTCTTGGAAAATCAATTATAGGTGGAACATTCATTATCTAAATCTACAGATTAGCTTTAAATTATGGTGTTTGTGGTTTATCTCAATAATGAAATGGTTTTAGTAAAGGAAATTCAACCTTTGGAGAGTTACAAGGGTTGCTAAAGTTTAATTTTTGTTCTAGCCATTACTTGTAATACCTAAATAAATATTAGAAGAAAGGCAGTTGAATTTTTAAAAATAATTTTAACTTAAACCTCTTCTCTTAAAGGAGCTACAAAGTTTGAAAATGAATTGGGCATATTGCTATGTATGAACGACATACCTGCCTACATTAATACGTAGGTATACGTTATATTTGATTATATTAAGTGTTTAATCTAATTAATAGTATATTTGTAATTTAGTCTGCTTATTCAAGTGGGTTAGTTTATTAAGCTTTGATTAATCATTCGTAAAGTTTATGTTAAGTGGAATGAACATGGGTTTGGACACTAGCATAATGTACTGTGGAGTATTACAGACCACCAAGCAATTGGTTTCTCAAGCAAAACCTGTATATGACATATTTTATCCCTACGGTTTTGATCAATAATCCTTTAACATGTGTTTATAGAAAACATACAAAATTTTGTATATATTCTTTCTAAAATCTAAAAAAATACCAGTTTAACTATGTATAATAAGATTTATATTAAATATAGTAATAATTTACGAACACTAGATATATCGAATTGCATTCAACTTTAATGATAAGCTTTTACTATGATAGTTGAATTATATATTGTATTGTATTCAGCCCTTTTTAACGTCTCACTGCTGGGCACGGGCCTCTCTTCAATACGAGGGGGATCAGACCATAATCCACCACGCTGGCCAAGTGCGAGTTAGCAAACTGCACATTCAAAACTTGCTAGATTCTCACAGACATGCAGATTTCCTCACGATGTTTTTCTTCACCGTAAGACAAGTGGTAATCATGGTGGAAATCATTAGCACGTGAAAATATCAGAGGTGCGAGACCCGGATTTGAATCCGCTTCATTTGGTTTCCCAAGCGCTTTACCACTGGACTACCACTGCCTAAGTATATAGCCATATATTAGCTTCAATTATTACATTAAAATATATTATTGATGACCTTCAAGAGCAGCCATATATATGTACATTACAAATACATATATTTCTGTTCTTAGAATAAAGCTAAGCTTAAAATGTAAGTCTAAGAAACCTTTTATATGTACTGATACATAATATGCGTAAACTTGCGTTAATGACTAAACACTTCATGCGATTAACCGATCCTGTTTTACTTAAGAATTATACACAACACATACATCCATAGTAATATTATAAATATGAAAGTGTGTTTGTTTGTTTGTCTTTCTTTCACGTAGAAACGGAGGGATGGATTGACTTGATTTTTTGTGTGGAGATAGTTGGAGGGCTGGATAGTGACATAGACCACTTTTTACCGCGGGATATTATGTCATTCCTACGGGAAAACACGTTATAGTACAACCTAAAAAAAATGATGACCAGAATTACTTGAAACTTGGTATCAATGCTCTTCAATACACACGTGTTAAATAAATACGTGTATTAAATTTTTTGAAATTCATCCCATAAGGGTGTAAAATAGGGGATAAAAGTTTGTATGAAACCTACCTTTTTAGAGATTTTTGTAGTTTTAGCGCGAGCGGAACCGCGGGTTCTGCTAGTATATATATGTACCTATGTGTCTATGAATTATTTTAAGTGATTTTATGGTATTTTTTAAATAATAAGTTTCATAATCTTATGTTTACGAAAGAGAAAATTATACAATGTGGTAGTAATGTGGATTTGAGGAGATTATCTATTTGATGGGATACCAGACATACTACAGACATACAAATGGGATACCATATATTAAAAATTAAAAAAATAATTAGACATCCAATTGGTTGAACCGTTTGATGGTCAAAATGTAACTAATAGAATTACAATCGTATTTATGTTACCAGTAATTAAAAAGTGTCTCCTTGAAAATAGTACTTTACTTCATACTTTTACATCCTAAATCTATATATTATTTATTAGAGTGGTGATTATTAAAAACAAAAACGTTTGGTACCAAAATATAATCTAACGAATTGCAAGTCGATATTATAGACTAACAATTTAGGTTGTAGTATTTTTGATATAAGCATGCTTTGTAATGTACAAAATAAAGAAAAAATAATTATAGCGGTAATTTAAGCTAAAGCCAATATAAGAAGCACTACTGTGTATTCTATATAAGTGTATGTATGTCTAGCTAAAAGTGTAAAAACTCATTACCTGAAATACTTTTTCAGTCGTCAGACAGACCTTGTAAAGAAAAAGAAACAAAGGAATAGGACAGATAGATTAAACGTCGAATACAGACACCGACATTCAGTTACATTCATTATAAAATAACTTTATTTATAAAGCTTGAATTTGTATGAATTTCCATTTTTTTTAATTATATATATATATATATATATATATATATATATATATATATATATAGTACCTGGGCGACCGAGCCTTGCTCGGAGTGTTTGGCCAAAAAAAAACATTAAAAAATTAAAAACTAAAAACTTTGTGTTCGACCGGGATACGAACCCAGACACCTGTGGTTGTCAAATTTGCGCATTGGCCGCTTGACCATGATGCTTATATCTGAGCATGCGAAATTATCGAACATAATATTTTGCGTGGAATTATTAATTTATTGAAATAATGCAAAAGGAATCATAATAATAATAAAGCTCTATTTATTTATTCATTTATTTATTATAAAGGCTTACTAACTAAATTTACATAAAAACATTTATTTAACATTATAATTTTACCTATTTGTATATAAATTTAATTTAAAAGTATGCACAGCTTTTTATAAAACTATTCCATTAAAATTTTATTTGGTTAAGAGTATATAAGGAGCCATTTTAGTTGTACAATAAACAAAAGAAGAAAAAAAAACTAATCTAAATATTTAAATACACTTTCTTTTTAAATAAATTTAAACTATCAGAAAAAATGTCTATATCACATTGCTGAAATATAAAATTATATAATTTAGTGACTATTTATTAACTTATAATTTTTTTTAACTAATAATTTTGTAATCTGGAATTAAATTATTTTAAAAATCTTTAATATTATTTGAAATTATATTGTATATATATATAAATTATCATTAACAAATAAATAAACAATGACAGTAAATTAAATAATTCAATTGAGTAAATACTAAACATTTCACAATAATACATATAAATAAAATTTCTTTCCATACATTAATTCTGACAATAGTTATAAATTAGGTATTTAATTTCATAATTAAATGTATTTATTTAGTAAATGTCTTTTTCATGTATAGACCCCTCTCGGTTAAAAGCCTCCTCCAAAGTAGTCCTGCATAGAGCTCTCCGTTGGAGATTATGCTTGTATGATTGCAAAGGGTTTCTTTTCAAATTTTGTTTTCAATATATAATTTGTTTCTGATATGCCTATAAAGTTTATAATTTTATCTTTGTCTTCTTTTGATTTGTTGTAGGAAATGCTGCTTTTAATTCTAGAAGTTTTTCTGGTGAAGATATATATTACCTTTGTTCATTGTATGTCTGTTTTTCTTTGGAGGGTTACGGTCGAACTCCCCCACAGTGACCGGCCGTACTGGGGGATAAAAATGAGGAGGTTCCTACTGTGTTTAATATACTGTATCTTGCTGTGTTGTTTTTAGTTCTTCCTGGTTATCATTTGTGTGGTTGAAAGTTAATTTTGGTTTTTGTAATATAAAGTCTTTAATATTAGCAGGTTTGGTTTTCTTTGTATGTTATTTATTTGTTAGTTTTTGTTTATAATTGAGGTAAGGCGTTTCTGAAGATACAGGCAGACTTCTTTTATTTGAGTATTGGCGAGAAGTGTTCTTATTATTATCCACAATAATTAGTTTATCATATTTAATGAAAGCTGTTTTGCCAAGGTCTTTTTCTTTATCTTCAGTTGGGCTTGTAACTCCTTGCGTTTATTTAAGACTTTATTTTTTCCTCTAGTTCATGATAGGATTTTTCACCTTTTTCTACTCCGAACATAACCAAGTTCTTGCGCCTAATATGTCTTTCTAAATTATTTATTGAGGATTTTTTTATTTCTAAGTGTTTAAATTTCTCATTTAAGTATATTATATTGTTGATTGTATTTTTAATGTCTTCTTTCATTTCTAACATTTCTGTTTTCTGCTGTCTTATTTCTTGTTGCATGTTTATTAGCAACTTTTTTATCTCCTCCATCTTAAGTGTGAAGTCGGAAGTAGAAAAGCTGATTGAAAAAGAGCACCAATTATACCTAGTTGAATTGCAATTTTATACAGAGTATTAGTTTTTGAGGTTATAAACTTATGTTTTAATATTTTACGCTTTCACTTCACAAATTATTTTGTTTTATTGTCATCACACACAGAAAAGATGGTTTTGCACTGATAGTATGTATAAGTTATGTTTGTCACTTTTGTATTTGTTTGGTAGGTGAATTTTTAAAAGCTGATTTGTTCTTCAACACATCAAGACTTGGTGATGTTTACATATTGCCCATAGGTTTTATTTAAAAATTTACTTAGATTAGATTTAATTTTTCTTTAGATTATTTTCACTTAAATATATTTAAACTTGATGTAAATACGGACACGATGTTGACAGTTGCACAGTGGCGCCGCCCACTCACCAGAAGTGACAATGCAATAATTGTGAAAATGCAAAAGAAAATCGCATGAAAATTCGAAAATTCGCGTTTTTCCAGATATAAGACTAATCTAGATCGATTTTTCGCCCCCGAAACCCTCTGTATGCTAAATTTCATGAAAATCGTTGGAGCCGTTTTCGAGATTCAGATTATATATTGAGATATATATATATATATATACAAGAATAGCTCGTTTAAATATATAAGATATATATATCTTTTTTAAAGAAGAACAAAAAATGACTGAAAATTAAATAAATCATTTAATTTGTAAAGTGAAAAAATATTTCATGCCAATTTTCATGCTAAATTATGTAGATAGTCTTCCGTTATTTACTTAGAGCAAAATACTAACATTTTTGTTGCTTACATTAAAAATATATTAAAATATTCTATTTGACTTTCTGTATTACAATATTATAACATAAAAAAACGCGACAAATATGCTATACGATGAACATAACTGTAGATTAGCGAATAAAGAAGTTACGTGAAGATTCAATATACCGATTATTATTAACTATCACTACAAATTCAAGCTTAGCATGTAAATATTTTGTAAAACACAAAGATTGATAAATTAAACACATTTTTTTAATTAAAAAAAACATTGAAATATGTTAGAAAATGCATGTACATACCAATCAATTTGACTATAGATTGCCTTTTAACGAGTCTTGCTTCTGTGGGAACTTCGCCAATAGATGCCGGTGCAGAATTGTCTATTTTGATACTCTTTTCACTCAGGTAGGAATTAATTGACTCGCCTCGTGTATACGGCCTGGTTTCGCGTCGGCTTTTGCTGTCTTTATTTTCACTTGTACTCACAACAGATTCAGCTATTTGGAATAACTGCAAGCTAAATCTGCTGGATTCTCTTCTCAATGACTTCTTGTTTGCAAATTCGGATAAAGACTGTCTTCTCTCATCATTGGGATTTAGCTTCCTCCTAGCCCTTTCTTCTTCTTTTACTTTCAAAACGTCAAACAGCGCATTCAACACCAAAATTACTAGAAATACAGTAATACCTATTACTGTGATAGTGTTGTTTTCATAATATATCTCTTTAGGCTTCATCTGTTTTATTTTATCTATTTGCGGTTTTTTCGTGAAGACTTCCAAAGCGCTGCAGGCGTCTTTCAAGAATAAAGGAATCACTTTTGATTTCACTACATATTTTGCTTGTGAATTGTTAGGTTTTATATCTGGCTGACTCTCAGCCGTTGGGGTAGGTGCCAGCGGTTTTTCATTACTATTACTCGTCATAAACCACATGTGAACACTGTATAGGCAATAAAATATAACAGAGAGTATAAAGAGTAATACTTTACGCTCGCTCATGTTTACATTGCCGAAGCGTTGGTTTATTTTGACAGAAACGTGCGTGCGCGTGAGCTATTCGCGTTCGCGATGTTTTAAAAGTTCAAAGCTCTGATATATGCTTTTTTATTGTTTTAAACGATTATTTATTAGTATTTTCTGTGGCGTGTACCCGCTAGCCACGTCAGGCGTTGTTTTGAGTTCTACTACTACGCTTTGCGCATGTGCGGTTCTTTAGTTAACAGACGCGCAGGGCTCGGCCAGTTCGTAGTGAAGTCGACACGAAAGAACACGATGAAAGTATAAACTATCCATCGATACTGAGTTGCTATCTTCTATGGGCACGTCCCAGTCGAATGCGCTGAATATGTTAATTAATATTATCAGATTTCCTCTTTGGCCGGTGTCTTATCGATTTCATTTAGAAGCTTTGTTATCAACTGCATCCTCCAGTCGCGACAAGATAAGCTAGCATAATTGAATTTTATCTTTATTACTTGTTGTTATTTTTTTTAATAAAACCAGGATGACGCACGAATTCAAGTCATTTTGTCGACAGATACATAATTTTGCATATTAATACTAATTATATATGACTATATAAACCATAGGTCTCTGAAAAAATAATATCTAAATTGTTAATATAAAAAAAAACACTTTTAAAAATAAACACACACGGTGTACTTTACATATGAGATCGCTTCTCTCGTTGTTGTCGCAGTACACTGTTAAATATACGTATAACAGTATGTTTATTTTAGTCTACCCTCATATTTAAAATATAATTACACTTACATTTATTAAAATTCCAACAGCATCACTATTTAATTGATTCTAAAAGCTAAAAAAATCGTAAATTCGTAATTTAATTACACAAAATAAATATATTATTTTAATGCATGTTGAAGAAAACTAACGCGTACTTAATTAATCTGTTCTTATTTTATTTGTACAGTTTTATTATTTATTACAGACTAATAATTTTTATAATCAACATAATATTTTCATAACAAAGCTATTATATTATGAACTTCTAATAATATTTTTACGACTATATTTTAAGAAAACCTCCAATAAAAAATCATACGTAATGTTTTTATTTTTTTTCAATTAAAGTCATACAAATAAAATTAAAAATTATATTTATTTTACACAATCTCACGGGCAGGAGTTATGTTTATACACAAAAAGTAAAAACATACTAAATTATAATATCGAGTGCCACCTGATAACACTTTATAGATCCCGATAAGCTAGTTATTATCTTTAAGATTTTTATGAGTTTGATGGCTGTTCATCGACGACGGGTTGATGAATACGGGTTGAGAGGAATATTAACATTTCATCGTAATAATTTCAATAGTTATTGCCTAAAGCAGAAAAATACTTGTTTGTGTTCTATTATTATATCGTTCGCTTTATTTATCAATATACATGTTCACTTCTTTTGTATATATATAAAACAAAAACTAACTAGCAGCTCACTCCCACTTCGCTTGGGTGTCTAGATGACTGCTTATTGTATTTTTTTATTCCCTACTTGCTTGTGCAATCTATACTAATATTATAAAAGAATAGTAGTAAAGTTTGTGAGTTTGTGAGGTTGTAGGGGGTGATCTCTGGATCTTCTAAACCAATTTAGATGAAATTTGGTGATAGTTTGAGATCCTGAGAAGGACATAGGACACACTTTTTATCCCGGAAATCATTCCTTAAGGGGGAGAAAATGGGGATGAAAGTTGGAATCAAGATTCCGCATACAAACTTTCATCCCCTTAGCTTGCTAAGGACGAATCAGAGTGATGGGAGGAGTATATACTTTTATTTTAAATACGACGGATGGCTTGACGGACGGCTCGACGAGCGGCTCGATGGACGACTCCACGGACGGCTCCACGGACGACTCGACGGACGACTCGATGGACGGCTCGACGAGCGGCTCGACGCACGGCTTGACGAGCGGCTCGGTTATCCTATGTTAGTGTGGTAGCGATCAGAAATTTGAACGCGGGTGAAGTCGCGGGTACAGCTAGTAATATATTTGTCTTTTTTGAAATAAGTCAGTCTGTTTAATCGTATATTACACAAGAAAGGATAAAAGAATTTCATATAATACTCTAAAAATATGTAACTATATACAACTATATTAAATTAATATTTAATACGAAAAATATGTTGTTGATAATAATAATCACCCTTATAACTAAGGGGTCAGGGGTGGTTATTCCCCCAACCTCCACTCTACGCCTCCTTACGTATAGCAATGGCCAATTTGTGCTTAGAATCATAAAACCGTTAACAATTAAAGCTAAAAACACTTGGCTTTTGTTTCCATTGGAAATTGGATTCCACTAATGTACATTCGCGGTTACAAACCATTACAAATGCAGTCGTGCTTTGTTTTCTTAAATGTAAAGCTCCGGTACATTCGGCTGCATTTTATAGAATGGAGCTTATAATTGAATAGCCATACATATTATTCTGTTAATAGGGAATAAAGAGAATATGTTTATGTAGGTATGATGAGTTTTATATCCCTTACTTTCGAAATTATTATTTCCCCATACAAAATTCCACCCTCTTTTTCACCCCCCTAAGGGATGATTTCCGGGATGAAAACCATCATATGTCCTTAACAGAAAGTTAAACTATCGCCATACCAAATTTCATTTAAATCAGTTCAGCAGAATAAGCATAAAAAGGTAACAGATAGACAGAGTTACTTTCGCATTTATAATATTAGTATGGATAGTAGCAAAGTGAAATCTGTACATGAAATATTTTTTTTAAAAACAATTATTGTTACGTATTGTGTACAGAATATAGAGCCCAAAACAATAGTTAATGAAATTTTCGTCTGTCTGTATATCTATTAGCATTTCACGCAAAAAGTACTGAACCGATTTTAACCAAATCTTGTATTAATAATACTTATGACCTGAGTTATTACTACACAAAATTTAGTTGGGTTTAAGACACCTTTTAAGTTTTACTACAGGAAAGTCATTCATTCCCACGGGAAAACACAATAACTGTATCTGCTGAGTCATCCATAGAAATTTATATGGCTAACGTTGGCTTAACCGAGATACATCAAAACAACGTACTAGAAAAATGTTGATCTTATACAGGCTTTTCTTAATAGCTTCTTAATTGCATATAATATGTCTTACTTCTAAGAAATACTCACAATAATTATTTCAACCGACTTCCAAAAAGGAGGAGGTTCTCAACTCTTCGGAATCTTTTTTTAAATAATAATAATAATAAGTATTTATTTCAGTTCAACAATCCATAGTAATTAATTTTTATATTTATGAATACAATTAAATTTAATAATAATAAAATCTAACAAATAGTTTATCCCCGATACTTAAGGGTAGTTACTTCACTGTGTGCAGCCGCATCCAGTGTCAGGTCACTTTTGACTTCTCTTTTTTTCTTAAAATCAATAAAACGACGATAGGCAATGCCTTCAGGCCAAAATTCATCTCGCATAAATAAATCTAGTTTATTGTATGTTTTGGAACTAAAATTTTGAACGATACATAATGTATATTCATAATTCACCAATTACTCGAAGACGCCGAACCGATTTGGATATTTTTTTTGTTTCAAAGGGTATACTTCCAAGGTGGTACCATATAAATTTTATCAAAATCGGTCAAGCGGTTTTTTTAAAGTCAACAAATAAATATTTTTTTAATTATCTATAAAAAATGTATCTAATAACGAACTCGAGCGAAGCCAAAGTAAATCGCTAGTGTATAATAAAGTACGGTAATAGATGTGGTACTAGTAAATTTTAATAGTGCGAGTGATTGATTATGATGCTTCAATGAGTACGCTTCGTAATTTTTAAGACTTAAATAGATTTTATTTTTCATGATATACTATTTGTGTATAGATATTTAGCACTTAAACAAAAAATAACATTGGAGGAAAGATTTTAACAAATTTTTTTGATAATAAAATAAGAAATATAAACGTACATTTCTAGTAGAAAATTATCACTACTGGTGGTCATCGAAAAAAGTGTAACTTGCGTCAATTATATTAACGTTTAGTATAGATTTCTCAGGCAGTGGTAGTCCAGTGGTAACGCGCTCGCTTGGGAAACCGAGTGAAGCGAGTTCAAATCCCGGGTCTCGCACCTCTGATATTTTCATGTGCGAATCATTTCTAACATGATTACCACTTGTCTTAACGGTGAAGTAAAACATCGTGAGGAAACCTGCATGCCTGAGAGAACCTAGCAAGTTTTCAAAATACATGTGAAGCCCGCCAATCCGCACTTGGCCAGCGTGGCGGACTATGGCCTGATTCCCCTCGTACTGAAGGGAGGCCCGTGCTCAGCAGTGGACGTTAAAAAGGGCTGAATACAATAGATTTCTCAAAGATATTTTCCCATCATACCAAATTTCATCAAAATCTATCCAGTGATTCTCTCCTGATGCGTTCCCAGACAAAATTCTAAAAACTATATAATAATTTAGCCTCTGTATCGATAACAAAAAGAAGACTCAGAATTTTCTTATAGGTATGTAATATCTATACTCGCATTACTTTTAACAAACATTCATTAATTTTCGCATTTATAATATTTTGTGCGGTAAACTCTTATTACTCCTCTACGGGAATGCACTGAGAATGTGATTAAATGAAAATAATTATCTAAAAATATTAATAGAAATATGTTGAAAATGATGCGAATGGCAATAGCTTCCGATAAAATACGTGTTAAATAAAACAGAGTATTTGTTAAATGTGTTTCTAAGCACCTTCACTGAAAGAAATGTAATATAACCGGTTTGCGAAATTGCGATTAAAAATGTGTTTCGATATTGCATTCCTCTTGAGGCCGGGCAAATATTTCCGATATTCTGACCATAAAATGGCTATGAACTATATTTTTAAATTTATATATATTATTATAGATTTAAAGCTTTTAACAT